CCGCCCAAGCGGCAAGTAGGCCACTATATCTTTTGGAGGAGTGAGTAGCTCCTCCTCATTTGCGGTGTGCAAGGTTGGGCGACATACTGCTTGAGCGGGCAGCCGGACCCAGAGCACTGCTTGGGAGGACAAAGAGCAGTTGGGCGCTCAGCCTGGCTATGGCGAGCAGCCCGCCTAAGTAAGAAGGGGGCGAACGACGAGAGTGGCGAGGTACCTACCTGGCTATGGTGGACACCATCTTCATTACCTTGATAGGCGCTGCATCTGGAAGACCCCAGTTGGGGTAGTGCCGCACCAATGAAGCTCAAAGCAGAGTCAGGCATGGCAGCCTGATAAGCAGCGACCATAGCTACTTTGTGTTGTCCGTTGCACAGGAGGGCAGAGCCCTTAGTAGTCTGCATAGCCTTGGCATGTGACATAAGGAAGAAAGAGGAAGCCATGGCTATGGTGGATCTGTTGTTGTGCTTGCGGTAAGAGGGAACTTCGGATATTGATTCTGGTTCAACTACTCATTGTTATTATTATTATTTGGGGAGAAGAATACGATTGGTGAAGACAAGGAGGAGGTGTTACGGACTCAGGCAGGGCTCGATCCCTGGTCCGCGGGTTACCACCCGCTGGGCTGCTATTTTTTTTTTCGAGTTTATGATCTCCGGTTCCCGACTGTTGGAGCCCTCTGCAGTTGGCGCCCGTTCTCAAATTCCTCCTTTGGCACTTCCGGATTTCGATACTTGGCGCCATCCGACATTCTGGCGCCCAGGCTTAGACCTTCGATTTTTAGTTCAGCCCCGAGGCAAATTGCACTTCTGCCCTGGGGACTGAACTTGAGTCCAGTACTTAAGACCGGACTCAAGCCCAGTATGGGCATTCAGTTTTCAGCTTCAGTGCTTGTGCTTCATCGTGACTTGCTGCAACATTGTGTTAGGAATCCAAGATTGAGACTTCGCGACTTTGCGACTTCGCCTCTTCGTGTCTGCGTCCGTCGCGTCGAGTCTAGTCCGTGTCGAGTCGAGTGAGTGTGTGTGCGCTCTCACTCTCTCCCTCTCTCTCCCCCTGCCTCGCTACTCTGCCTTCACCTCGTCACAGGATGAGGAAGGTGGAGAAAGAAGGGGGATTTGTCATTGGTCTTGCTGGTGTACATCTTCTTCTTCTTCTTCTTCTTCTTCTTCTTTCTTTTTTCTTCTTCGTTTTCTATCTATTTGCAAGTGTTTTTATTTCTTTCACAATTGGGTGGCATTGTCTTTCCTTGTGAATTTGCACTTCGAAAATGACCAGGATCGTAACAATAATGACAACGAGTGGTCGAACCGAAATCAATATCCGAAGTTCCTTCTTACTGCGAGCACAACTGTAGGTCCAATATGGCCAAGGCCTCCCTCTTCTCCTTCCTCTCACAAGCCTAGGCTATGATGGAATACTGAGGGCTCTGCCCTCATGTGCAAAAGACAACGCAAAGCAGCTATGGCCGCTGCTCTTCAGGCCGCCATGCCTGACTCTGCCTTGACGCTTCCTTGGTATGGCACTACCCCCACTGGGGCCTTCCAGATGGAGCACGTAACAAGGTGATGAAAATGGTGTCCACCATAGCCAAGATGTTGATAGTTATAGTCAGGTTGGATCTTTCAGCAACCCCCCCTGTTTGACATGATGACGAGCTTCAGTAAGTTCGCTCAGCTCAAGTTGACAAGCCAGTTCGTCTATATTGCCATCTCTCATATGCTCTTTGATGTTGCTCATCTTGCAGTTTACAACTGCACTTGCTACGTTCGAGAATATCGTCCATTAACGGATCTTAGTTGTGAGTCAATCTGCTGATGACTCATGTTCGTTCTCCTAAACAGTCGCCCGATGGCAGGGAAGAGCTGCATTCAAGGCCTACCCCCACCGGTGGACAACCTGACTGGCTACCTAAGCCCGTAAATCCACGATCTAGAACTCATGTTCCCACCATCCCATAACCTCTTTGGAGAAAAAAATCTGATAGCTGTGATAGCAATTACCAATTTGTTGCAATCTTTCCTCTTGCCTCTTCACCTTTGAGATCATTGGAGCAATGAAGAACATCCTACCCCTTCTTACTGCCGCCATCACATTTACGAATAATCGTTCCAACCTAAACCACAAGACAACTTCGAACTCTCAGCTCTTCTCTATTACTGACTTGTAAGCTTCCTCCTCTAAAGAATGGCTGGGGGATGATCACGGGAGGTGGATAGCCTGCGTCAAATGGGTGGGAGAGCGGAGACCAGCCTGATGGACAAGAGCTGCGAAGGGACTACATCATAACATTCAAGGACTGGATCAACGTCGAGGCGACGATCCCGCGGCGCCCCCCCTCGGAATTCATCTTTCCGCCCCACAGCTTATCATTGGTAGATCTGCAGTGGTATGGGGGCGGATGATCAGGCCCTCCGCATCTGTGGGACCACAACAACAGGAGCTGGACACAGCTAGGAGAAATTCTGTCTATATGGCAGCTAGGGACAGCTGAAGCGGCTGTGGGACAGGTCTAAGCCGGAGCTGGGTAAAGGCCCTGGTAACATGGCCAAATCGAACATGCAATGGACGGTGGACACAGTTTCCAACATGTGATACTCCCCCACCAATAGACCAGAGCGCCCAGTGAGGTGGCTGCTCATACCAACCCCTCTAGCAGACTCCAGCTGGCTTCAGGGAAAAAAAAAAGCTTCCTCCTCCTGCTCCGCCTCCTGCATTTTCAATCTTTACCAGCTCCTCCTCCTCTACTCCTTGTAAGGCCCTCTTTGCTTTATTTTGTGAACTCTTCTCAGTGACCCCTGATGTTTGACCCTTTACATTCACAGCCATATCTTAATTCCACCTCCCTTCTCCTCTGTCTTTCGTTATTTTCCGATTTGGACCATTTCTCGATTCTGTGCCATCCTTGCGCAGGGGCCATGCTAAACTTCTTTCTCTGTATAGTTCCAATTTTAACAGATGTCCTGAAGAAATTTTCTCTCCTCTTCCTTGCCCTCTTCGCTGATGGTTCTGATCCCTCCACGGTCCCTGGTCTCTGTTCTTTACATGTCTGTAACAGCTCTTTCCTGCTCTTGTACCGTCACCTTCAAAACAATTCTTTTTCAAACCTACTAAGACCATACTCACATCAGGACTTTTAGGACTAATCTCTGGACCTAATTGTTGTCAGATACATCCAGGTCATGGTAAACTGGCGGTCATATACATCCCAGAAAGTCCTAGTTTGAGTCTACCCTCAAAGACAGCCTGCTGCTTCTGCTGACCAACATGGTCTGCTTGGGCAGTGGCAACTGTCGATGTCACCATAACGGCACTAGCAGCCTCCATAATCTGACACCGCAGCACACAAACACCTCTAGAATCTGGTACTGATGATACCATTAGAAGGCAGTCTAAGAGAATGAATTGAAACCAGTCTATGCCTATCAAGGGGTTCCAAAAACACTGATGCAGCTGTAAACCGGTATACCCTGGGTTCCCACCTGGTTGGGCCCAACATTTTCCTGGAGGGTGGCCAGCGGAACTGTTCATGCAAGTCCCTGTCCTTGTGCTGCTACTTCTACCACTCACAGTGCTACTGTGAAAACTTCTTCAACTACTGCCGCCAGCACCTCCTGTGCTTCTGCTGGTGCTGCTACTGCTATTGCTATTGATACTGATACTGCTTCTGCTACCGCTACTGCTACTGCTATTGCTACTGCTACTGCTGCTACTGCTGCACTACTGCTACTCCTGCTGCTACTGCTACTCTTGCTGCTACTGCTACTATCTGCTGCTACTGCTACTGCTACTGCTGCGGCTACTGCTGTTGCAACTGCTGCTGCAACTTCTACTGCTGCTGCTGCTGCTGCTGCTACTGCTACTGCCACTATTCCTGCTGAATTCTGCCGTTGCTTCTCCTACTGCTACTGTCTTCACCCAAATAGAATACCCAGTCAGGATCGCGGTCACCATAATCTGACACGGCAGCATACAAACACCTCTAGAATCTGGTACTGATGATACCATTAGAAGGCAGACACGGCAGCACACAAACACCTCTACAATCTGGTACTGATGATACCATTAGAAGGCAGTCTAAGAGAATGAATTGAAACCAGGCAACACAGGCACACACACTCTCTACACTCCGTCTGTGTCAGCCGCTGGGCGGCTATGGCCGCCGTCGTCCTCCTCCTCCTAGCTATGGCCGCCAGTTTCTTCCTCACTAGCCAGCTATGGCCGCTGTCTTCCTCACTGCCCACTTCCTCTCCGAGCACCTGCAGACCTCCACGCACAAGATACCAAGGCAACTCTTCCACATGGCTCGCAGGCAATTGAGTGAATGGCTGGATGCTGCCTCTGTATTTATACTTCTTCGGAGGTACCCGGGCCTGCCTCAAAATGCGTGGGCCTGGGCCAAAATGCGTGGCCCAGGGAAGCTTCCAGACGTGTGGCCTTCTGGGCCAAAACGCGTGGAACCCACCACGTGGTCCAGAACCTTCCCCACGTGCAGCCCCTACCCCTGGTACTTGCTGCCTGGACTGGCCTACAGGGACCTACAACCTTCGAGAGCCTACCGACTTACAGTCAGACTCTAGGCCACAGTAGACTCAGATAGAGACTTCAAGAACATTCCTTCCTAAGCCTAACGGTAACAGGCCTAACTACTAACCTACAGACCTAGATGTCCGAGGAGGAGCTCACGGTTCTCCGTGCGCAACTCGACGATCTACTTGACAAGGGTTGGATCCGCCCTAGCAGCTCACCTTACGGTGCGCCCGTTCTCTTCGTTCAGAAGAAGAACAAGGACCTTCAACTTTGCATTGACTATCGACGCCTCAACGCGCAAACCACCAAGAACGTGGGGCCTCTACCTCGCATTGACGATTTGCTCGAGCGGTTGGGCGGCGCCAAGTACTTTTCCAAGTTGGACCTCAAGTCGGGCTACCATCAGATTTCCATCCGCCCGCAAGATCGGTACAAACCGTGTTTAAGACGCGATATGGGCATTTTGAGTGGGTAGTTATGCCTTTTGGCCTCACCAATGCCCCGGCCACCTTTCAGGCGGCCATGACCATCGAGTTTCGCGCTATGTTGGACCGCTTCGTCTTGGTCTACTTAGACGACATCCTCGTCTATAGCCGAACTCTAGAGGAGCATCTCGAGCACCTTCGCCGTGTTCTAGAGACTCTTCGGTCAGCCCGGTACAAAGCTAACCGCGACAAATGCGAGTTTGTCCGGCAAGAGCTTGAATACTTGGGTCATTTTGTCTCTCCGGAAGGCATTCGTCCGTTGACGGACAAGATTCAAGCCATCCAGGAGTGGCCCGAGCCGAAGAATGTGACGGAYGTCCGATCCTTCCTCGGCTTGGCCGGTTATTATCAGCGTTTCATCAAGAGTTACTCGAAGATCGCAGCCAACCTAAGCAAGTTACAAAGTGAGGAGCGGCCTTTTGACTTCGACGACGATGCGCGCCATTCTTTTGAAACACTCAAAGCGGCACTCTTATCCGCCGAGGTGTTACATACTTACGACCCGCTTCTAGCTACGCGCGTCACTACCAATGCGTCGGGCTATGGCATTGGGGCCGTCCTTGAGCAGCACGATGGCACGGACTGGCACTCGGTCGAGTACTTTAGCAAGAAAGTACCTCCCGTGCATTCGATCGACGACGCACGAAAGAAGGAGCTTCTTGCCTTCGTCCACGCCCTCAATGTGATCGGGGAAAAAGTCAAACTGGTCAATGAAAGCCATCCAACGGGCAATGGTATTGTTAATCGTGTCTTGCGACTTGTAGAATACCAATGGATTGTTATCTGTTACCCATCGGAATGCTTTCCGACCAAGGAAGAAATGTCGAGGAAATGTCGCCAATCGAGTCCTCCTATCCGTCCTACAGACTAGCCTACGGTGTAGGACAGGCCACGGGATTGAGTCCCACACAAATCACTGGGTCTATGTACAGGGTACATGGTAGGTCTAGGGATCGAATCTCACTCAGCACACATGGTCAATGTACAGGGCTCGGGCACAGGTCTAGGGATCGAATCTTTGTGTCTGCGAATGTTGGATCAACTGGGTGAAACCGTTTCACTCCCGCCGTCCTAAATTCGAGGTCCTCCGAGAACACTCTAACTCAAGGTAGGACCTTTCCCCTTTCTTTCTCTTTCATAAGCGTGTACTATGGTGGGAGCGGTTTCTAAGAGCTCTGTTATGGTAAACCATCGGTCGTCCTCGGGTTCCTGATATGCGAATGTAAACTTATACTGTTTCTGCGGACGACCCCAACCTCCTCTTCTAAACACGTCCTCTTCCACTATGCAATCTATGTCATATGCACCATCCATGTCTGCCGGGATCATTGCTCTCCGGGAAGGGAATCTGTCGGACGTGGTGCAAGGCAGCAACTTACACACATGGAAGACTGGGTATGAGTGGAGGTGAGGTGGGATTACTATTGTGTATGACGGGCCGTCCTCTCCTCCTTTGACTTCTAGGACAGGCCATGGTCCTCTGTATGCAGGCAAGAGCTTCTGCGAGATGTTTTCCTCTGGTGCGAACTCCTTTGACTTGACCCAGACTAAATCGCCTACCTGGAACTGTGAAGGTCGGCGGTGTTAGTTAGCTTGTTCTATCATCCGGTGTTGGGCCTTCCTGAGATTGTCAATGACCTTAGCGACTTCTTGCTCGTGTCGTAATGCAAACTCTCGGGTGCCGAGTGGTAGTCTCTGGATCTGGTCCCGGTTTAGTCCTTCAAACGGTTGCCTAGGTCTAAAGGACTTATGTAGCTCACTGGGGGTCCTGCAAGTAGCTAGGCGGACGCTGTTATTATAGGCACTTGCTACTTTGGGAAGCATCTCATCCCAGTTTACCTGATCTGGTCTAATATACATCCTGAGTAGTTGCTGCAAGATCTTATCCATTTGCTCAGTCTAGCCGTTTGTTTCTGGGTGACGGTCGAATGACATCAATAACTTGAATCTTGCCAGTTCTGACTGGTAAACCGTGTGTCTCTATCACTGACTATAGACAACGGTAAACCACACTCGCTTACCCAGTAGTCGAAAAACTTATGACTAAGTCTGTACATGTCTCTGAAGGCAGTGGAACAAATACTACATGCTTACTAAATCTGTCTACTATGACCATGACTGTCGTGCCTACTTCTGACCCCAGTATCCATGAAATTGATGGAAACTGACTCTCCGGGTCCTGATGGGATAGGCAAGGATCTAAGAAGACCTAGCGGGGCTCTCGTTGTAGTCTTATTGCGCTGACACACCTTGCAACTGCGCACATACTCTATGCAGTCTGCTTTCATACCTGGCCACCTGTATGACATCATCAGGTTAGCTAAAGTCTTTTTGCCACCCAAAATGCCCTTCTATATCATGACATTCCCCTAAGATCAGGCTACGGATTTCTTCACTGTTGGGGACACACAGTCTGTCAGTGACATTGGTCTTCTCGAATAATAACCCGTTCGTGGTTCAATAATGTGGTTCACCATATGGGGCTTCCATTACCCTTTTCATCAACTCTCTATAGATTGGGTCCTGTGCATAAGCATCTCTCACTTTCTGTTGCAGATCGGCCCCTATGTCTAGATAGTGCATTATCACGCCGAAGTAATCAGCTCTCCACTTAGAGCATCCGCTACCACGTTATACTTTCCTTTTACGGGCTTTAACTCGAAGTCAAATTGATCTATCTCAGCAGCCCATCTAGTCAACTTGGGCGTCATCTTGGCCTGTGTCTTTAGCCATCTAAGAGTCTCATGATCTGAATATACCTTGAAGTGCCTCCCAAGCAGGTAGTGCTTCCAGTGACCTAAGGCCTGCCTGAGAGCGTAGAGTTCCCTCTCGTATGTCGATGCTGCTACTTTTTCTAAGGGCAGCCTGGTTGACATGTACTCTAGGGGTCTATAACCATTGTCGTCATCTTGCTGCAAAACGGTGCCTATGCCATACTGACTCGCATCTGTAGTGACGACAAATGGCAGTGACGGATCAACAACTTTGAGGACAAGGTACCCTATTAAGGCCTTCTTTAATTTCTTGAAGGTTGATATGCAATCCTAGTCCCACTTCCAAATTGTCTCTGTCAGCGTGCGAGGAGTCGGCCAATCTCTAATGGATGCTATCTTACTGTCCTCAGGTCGAATGCTGTCTCCGTCTAGTACATGGCCTAGGTAAAGGACCTCTCTCTTGGCCCACTCTCACTTCTTCGGGTTATTCTTAAAGTTGGACTCTCTTAGCTTGCCTAAAATTTGCCGCAGATGGCCCTCATGCTCCTCGAGGGTCTTGCTGAACACTAGGATATCGTCTAAATAGACTACGACAAACCTATCTAACCACGACCTAAACAAGTCGTTCATGCAGTTAGTTAGTCCAAACGGCATCACTATGAACTTGTAATGCCCATATCTTGTCCTGAACGGTGTGTTGTACTGATCGTCAAGGTGGACCTCTATGTGATGCTAACCTGACTTCAGATCTATCTAAGAGAAATACTTGCAGCCTTGTACTCGATCTAATAGGTCATCTATGTGAGGCAGCGGCTCTGCATTCTTGATCGTAATGGCGTTCAGTCCCCTGTAATCTAGACACATGCGTATTCTCCCTCCTCCTTTGGGACAAACATAATAGGTGCGCCAAATAGTGACAAACTAGGCCTTGTCCATCCTTTCTTTAGGAGCTTGTCTAACTGCCTACGAAGCTCCTCTAGCTCCTTGGGAGACATTTTATAGACCACCCCCTCAAGCGTTCTACTGCCAGGCTCTATCTCTATGTGGTGCTGGATTGGTCTAGGCACTACTCCTAAAGGTGCTTCAAACAAGTCATTATACTCTTCTAGCAAACTAGCAATGACAAGATGAATCTTCTCTTCTTCTTTAGGCTTATCGGACACTAGCCTCACGTAGGCTACGAACACCGGCTCTTCAAGCTGCTCCTTTCGCACAAGTCTGGCGAATGCAAAAGCGTTGAGGCAGCAATGGGCAAAGGGGTTATCTACCCCAGACTCATAGTACAGGCGGGCGCGCTTGACTTTGCCTGACGCACTAGGGAGCCTGCACTCGTGCTCTCTAAAGCGCAATGTGGCTCCTGCAGCCTCTCCTCAGTCTGTGCCTAATACAATGTCAAACGGGAGGTTCTCTTCTACGAGGGTCAAAGAATGTAGTACCTTCTCTACCTTCCCTTCTTTCTCTAGGCGGAAGTAGGTGTGGACCCCCTCATCATACTCGTCAACGCGCATCCTACTGTTGTCTGCAAGGATGTTGACTACAGGTTCTTCCAGTCGCTGGACTGTCAGATTGAGCTTCAACTTTTTCAACGCTTTACGACTAATATAACTCCTAGTTGCCCCACTGCCTATCAAGGCTCCTACACTAGCTGTAAAGATCTCTACGTATGCGAGGATTAGTTGTCCTTTCCCATCCTTATTCATCTTAGCCCAGACTTGCCTCCTCCCCTTCAGTAAGCGTCCAGAGATACCCTAATACAAGCGGTCTCTGGACAACCTACTAGACGCTGGCCTGCAACCTCTGTGGAGTGGGAGACTCTACTTCGCGCACACGCTCAAATCCATGTACTCCTGGGGTAAGGGCAGTTGCAACCCCTACCAACGACTGCCTTTTGCTGCCCCAGAAACAACACAACTTCTATACTTAGGACAAAATTTCATAATGTGGCCTGGGTCCCCGCAGAACACGCACTGAGACCTATTAATGTGTTCTTGCCATACGCTCTTTTCAATACCCAGATCTTCCCACGGTCGRCCCTCGGGCCGGCCTGGGTGCCACCATCCCTGTCTAGGGGGCGACCGACTAAAACGCGGACGGTTAGACGGGGGACCTCCCCTTCCTCCCACTTGACGGTTTCCATTGCCGCCAACCCTCTGGCCGCCCTGTCCTCGGCCACCTAGGGCCCGACCATTCCGGCCAGACCCTTGTCCTCCTCCCTTCGGCCTCCCTCCAACCGCGACAACAGCGTAAGGTCTCCCCTGGCCTGCGCCGCTGTCCTCCTCCTCTAGTCCCCACTCAATGTCAGAGTAGGGAACCTCGCCTGTGCCACCTCCCTCCATTGTTAGTATCAAACTATCTTTGGCCTTACTTTGGCCGGAGATGGTGCGCCCCTTCCACGTTTTTCCCTTAGACAAATCTTTATGCCAAAACGTGGTAACTGGCGACGCTTAGGCGGCAAATGAGACTGCCTCCCTGCTACCCTGCTGATTCTATTTCTCAAAGAAATATCCCTGAATATTCTCAGGCAGGGCACGCTAGAAGAGGTTAACCAGTTGGGCATTGATCACTCCATGCCCAGGAACAACAATCAACTCGTCCATCGCGGACTTGAGGGCGTGAACACTTTTCCATTGGCGTGTGTGTATCATTAGAAGCTTATCAAAGGCTTTAACTGCCCGTATCACATCAGAAAATCGTTCTATGAGGGATTTCAGGAACTCGGAGTGGGGTGTCAGTCTAGAACAGGTGACCATATCATTGTCACAATTTGCTGCGCGGGCGAGCGACCTAGCGAAGCTGGTCGCCTCATCTCGGAGGGCCCGGAAGGCCACCAAAACGTGATCCTCATGCGTGACTCCTTGCAAGTACAAATAGGAGTGCACGTTGGCCTCCCAGTTATTGAACCCCCCCCCCCCTTCTTTCCACTGAAGGGTCGGGGAAACCGACTTTAACCTTTTTGCGACGTGGTGGGGTCGACTCCTCTTCCTTAGCAGCCGCTAGCTTGGCGCCTTCAATGGCGCCAGTGCAGAATTCCTTTGTCTTACTAATCGCAAGGTGGACTTGGCCCACCATGTATTTCATCATATATTGTGCAAAGTCTCTAAGCCCTGCCTGCATTGCATCTAGCTTTATATCTTGACTACGTATGTACTGAATCTGCTCGCACTATGCAATTAGTAAAGACTCTACGCTTTGGGTCAGGGTCTCGAGTTTAGTTGCTAGCTTGGTCTCTTTCCCGATCTTCCCCATTCTGGCCTTTGCCGCCTTTAAGTCTCTTTCTGCTTTCTCCGACGCTTCCAGACGCCTAACTTTTTCTCGGGACAATCGCCACTTCCATGCCCTCAGTTGTTCTTCCTCCTTCACCCTTCTCCTTACCGGGTCCCTTTCTACTTCCAACTGCTTCCCCACCACTTCTCTCTCTTCTTAGGGTATGGCCAACTCTGCCTCCCTATCTTCTCCCAACTCCAAGTGTGCGGCCCATTCCTTTGCCATCTTCTCAATCTCCTCCTCCTTGCTTGTACTAGATTCACCTCTTCTTCTTTCCAATGGCACTTCTTCTACCCACTTCTTCTTCTTCTTTCTCCACCTTCGCCTGAATAACTGCCATCTTCTCCTCCTGCCCCTTTTCCACCTTTCTATCTCCTCCTCCATCTGCCTCTTCTTTGCTTCCTGCTCTTCTAGCAAGCCCAACATCTTGGCCTGCTTGATCAACTCCTAAGGTTCACCATGGTGACACAATCAACAACGATTCCTAACACGTAAACCCACCAGGTTAACTTATATCTCGGGGACTTCTACTCACCACTCGGGTTAGACTCACGGCTCTACGACCACCTCCACAAAGTCCTATTGACCTGGACAGAAGTGACAGGGAGATATGACTGACTGACTCTGACAAACTCGACGTCAGCAAGTACCAGGGCGAAGGTGCACATCCACGGGGTAAGGGCTAGGCTAGGGCTTGGAGGGATGGTACCGTTCGTCTTCTCGGTCCAACTTGGTCAATGCTCCAGTCAACGGTCTTGGTCAACTCGTCGGTCAACAGTCTTGGTCAACGCTTCGTTCAACTTCGGTCAACGCTTGGTCAACAGTGTCAGTCAACCTCCGATCAACGTTGGCCAACTCCCCTGGTCAAACCTCCAACCTTCCGACTATGGTGGACCTTCTTCTTCTTTGTCATTCTCGTCGTCTTCTTCACCTTGGCTATGGCCGACTTCACCTTTCTCTTCGTCAACTTCCTTCTTCTTTCTCTCTGCGTCTCTTCTTTCTCCTTTC